TCCTTTCCAAGGCAGGCAACTTCTGCCTTGCTGTGCTGACTGTGGGTCTAGAAGAGCAACAAGAGAGAAGAGACGTATCTTCTGGCAGGAATGGGATACTGTACCCTGCAATTCTAGTCTACCTACAGGGAATGACCAATTCAGAGCAAGAGAGGGCAGCTATTATGTAGCATTTATCCATCCCTACTTCACTTGAGTAATAGCTATCCCATTAATACTCTAAGAAATTAGGGTATAAACATGAAATATGAAGTTAGGGATATATCTATGACCACGTGCATATGGCAACAAAAGGCAGGGGAACCCTTTATTTTCCTATTAACATGAAAAATCTCTCTGTTAGATGTCATTCTATCCCATTTTACCCTGGAGCTGTACAGGACAAAACAGTTTTGACACCCATGGTGCCCACTGTATCAGAGTGTGCATACGTATCTTATACGGATCCTCCCAGCATAGCTCTGGGAGGGAGGAAAATACCATCTCTGTGCAAGCAGTATTCCTTCCTCGGCCTTGGGTATCTATCTCTTTTCTTCCCACTGGGGCAATGGGGGTACTGCCCCAAACCATCAGCTCCAGGCCAGTTCTCCTCCCTTCCCTTTGGATCGTGCAGGTGATTTGGCAGCTGGATTCGTTACCCTTAATATTTATCAGGCCTCAGGAAGGCTACAAAATTGTGTAATACTCTATGCAACAGAGTCCTGAATTACATTCTGTATTGTGACTAAGAAGAAATGTAAAATAAACAATACAATTTTATACTGTGCTGTGCGTGGCCCACAAATTACAGGAGGAGGAATTACATGAAGAACAATTCATCTCCGAGATTCCAATTATAGGTGTGGGGAGAAAACAATATTTTTGTGAGGATTTGAAATGCAGAGCAGTTGGCATAGTTTTATTTTAAAATTATAAATATTTTCAGATCGAAGTGCAATTAGTAGTGAAAATGTCATGTAGTTTTACTATGTATGTTTGTTAATATGGCTGGCATAACTCATTTAGGAGATGCCTGCAGTGCAGGACCTGTACTACATATATCATAACCAAAAATACAGTACTTACACATATATATAAAATGTACACAGAGACAACATTGCCAAACAGCCTTCTGGGACAATCTAAAAGAATATCATTAATTTTTACTGTATACTTACACTTCTGGCTCAGTTCCAGCACTGGCTTTCTGTAAAAATCATTTCAAGTATAGAATTATGCTATTTGCTTGCAGCAACATCGCAGGAACAGTAGTGAGCCATATGTTGCTACTTAGCAACTTAGTCTATAAGTCCCAAAGCATGTACTGATTTGAAAATTGAACAGAAATGATAATTGTTGAGGGATGCTGTGAAGCAACTTGTCTTGGATTACCAAGCTATGCAGATGTTTGATGTTATATAGCAAAAGGAACAAAACTATATTTTTCCTGTCCAGTGGCTGAGCTTTTATTTATGTTAGCCTAAAGGGGATAAATTGATTAAAACCCTTAAAATAATACAAGGCGATGTTTTTCTGGATATGAACATTTTGCAGTAAACAGAAAGAACTGAAGTGCAAAGTTCAGCTTTTTCAGGGCAATTGAAACATTTCTGATGTCTAAATTTTATTTTCTTCTGCAACACAGCTTATTTTATAGCCCCAACATTTCTTGAAATGCTGGATTCTAGGAAAAGTTAGAGGGAAAAGGCAAAACAAGCAAAACTAACTTCTCAGGGTTAGATCCAAAGCAAGGACGTGAGCATGTCAGCATGCATCAGGACCCCAAAAATCCTGCCTCTATAGTCACATAATCCTGAAGACAGCCTAGTGGAAACCTCTCGGTCTTTGGTGTTGTATACCATGACTCAGTCTGCCAACCTACCTCCCAAATAAGTGTGTCAGACTCTGAAATTAGAAAATGATGCTTGTGTCTGACTCAGTCAGCATGATCAGAGCTCAAATAAAAGTTTCTGATAGGCCTGTGCATCTCCTAACATGTGGGATTCATATTTTAGTTAACAGATGTGCATCCATCAAGGAAAGTGGAGAAATGAATTCACTCCTCATTCTGACAAGATTCAAACCCCCATTTCTGATCTTGCAAGGGAACAGCCAAGTTACTGGGGATGGGAGGGAGCCTGCACTCCTCTCACTGAAGTCATACAACTGCAAGGCTCGTGAGGGCGGATGCAAAATGGACACAGGAGAAAACTCTGTGGATTAAGTGACTAGGCTTTCACCTGGGAGACAACATTTTCTCATCTCTTCTATTTGTTTTATATCTGGTAACAGTGAGTGGAGAATGAACAAACAGTCCTGAAAACAGGGACCAGAAAATTGCCACGTCCTTTCCTCTCCCTCTCCCTCCCCAGTAAGCCACACAATCTGGCATGCTTTGTTTTCAGAGCAGTGCATATCATATTGTGTCCAGTTTTAACAAGCAGATTGGCTGTTGAAATGGCAATCAGGTCACCAATTTTGGGTGACCACCAAATGTTTACGCCTGAGATAGGAACAGCGCCCCATTACAGTCGGTGAAGACCTCACCAATACTGTCAATGGAGAGCTGCTTAGCTCCTTTGAGGAATGACTAACAGCTGTCTCCATCAGGAACAGGTTCAGGAAGGTTTCTCTCACAGTCCCAGTTCTTACCTTAACAAGAGAGAGGCAGGATTTCCAACACACCCCTGGCTTCCTGCTCCTAGTGTGGTTTTTGCCTCCTTTATAAATATTGTTGTTATTATTACAGGCTTTCATCTATATTCACTTAAAAAATGCTGCAACGGTGTAAGCACCAGGAGAGAATCACAGTAAGGGAAAGGAGGGCGCAACAGCCCAAGGCTGATGGCTTGTCTCAAACAGGCACGGGAGGCTGTTTGACCAGAGTGCGTTTGGTCATAATTTAAAACACTGTGCCTGGCAGTTGAGCTAGTTCTTGCCACACGTATCCCCCAGCAAAGGACAGCGTTTCGACACCTGCCTCTGGGTTTTGAACTCCGCCCGGGAGCCAGACACCCAAGAGCTTGGCTTTGCCATAGCGAGATTTGAAGTCTGTAAGCCCTTTCTTGGTTCCAGCCTTTAGTAAGCATTCAGGGTTTTCTGTCATCTTTGAATTTGGAAATGTCACATTTGATAGATTTTTTTCCTTGAAGACAAAATCATTTGCACTTAAAATGTCTAGGCCTGGATCTTTAAAGGTACTTTAAGCACCTTACTTCCACTGAAACCAGTGAGTGTTAGATGCATAAATATCTCTGAGGATCTGGGCCTTGTTAGCACATGTAAAAACTGCATAAAAGATTAAAACTTATATTCTTAATTTTTCAGTATGCCATTTAAATTATTTAAACTACATGCATACACAGTACAAAAATATCAACAGAAGAAAAATAATTCTGATGTATAATGTGGATTTGCAATTCTTTATTCAAAACTACTTAAGACAGACATAATGATTCTCTGAAAGGTAGCTGCTGCCTTATAACAGCAATCATTCACAGAGTTTGTATTTCTACTGTTTCAAACAAATTCAATTAGCCCTTGCACTTCAAAACCCTTAAGGCATAAATGAGATGATACTAGGCTGCTTTAATCTAATAGTAATACTAAAACTTGTCAGTACAGTTTTTGGATTAATGGTTAGAGAAAAATTAATAATATAATTTTTCATTTTTTAATCAAACAGTTCTATTCTAAACTACCTCTGGATCTTGGAGGGTTCTTAGCTGAATAAGTTCAATCATGCACAAATCCTAAACGCAAAGTACAGTTGGTCTCTAAAGGTATTTCAGAATAACTTCAACAGAAGGCTGGGAAGCAACATGGTGGAACATTTTAAAGACAGTCTTTTTGATTGAACAGTGTAGCTCATCTCAACAACCTCCTGCTTCCCTGCCCCCAAATGAACCCGTGTACTACACATTATGATTAGTTAGACCATGACTATCTGAAAAACCCTACTTCATGAGGACATTTAGCTTTGAATGTACTGTCACTTTCCAAAGCTGTTGATTCCTAAATGACATCCTGCTCATCTACACACATTTACTATGCATGCAAACTTATTTCCTACCTAATGAGAGCTCTTCATATAATCCTACTGGTCCTGTCAGAAAGAGGTATATCAGACTAGCCACCGCTGGGCCTGAGATATTGCATGACCTAGACCACAAGTCTGATTATTCAGGGAAATTTCTGACACAATCTAACTGACCTGCACCACTATCACCATCACTTAATAATGTTGAATTAAACTGACCAAAACATGTGAAGTAAATGAAAATTTCTCCCCTACCTATAGATGTAGCTACAGGTAGACAAACCAAAAATTTTGAAACCATTTTTGCTTAAGAAGTAATTAAAATCTTTCATTCTTAGAAATCTATAGTATCTTAGGGTTCAAGTAGAAAGGTGAAAGATTTTTAAATATACATCTAGTATCAGAATTTAGCGTGTAGGGTTCCCCAAAAGGGAAAGGTCTCAAAGATACCTGTAAAGAATCCACATCACATGAAACCTTTTGGGCTGCAAGCTACAGAAGACCAAGGCATTGCCTTAACCCCACTGCTAATGGTGTAACATTGGCAACGTTCCTCAGCCATAAGATTAGTGTTAAAAATGCAATTCTTCAATTACAACTGGCCTACGAGTGATAATTAAAGCTATTTGTGACATGTGTAGCTTATAATGATTAACTTGTCTGCAGTCAGATAAACAAATAACCTGCACCTGTAAAGACTTTATTTCCTGAAGGTAAAACAACTGTTTAGGAAAGATCATGCTGGCAAAACAGCTGCTTGCATTCTGGAGAGGAAACAAGGTAGTATCTTTCAACAAACGCCAACTCTGGTGTTTTATCAGCTCTATCTCATTAACTGGAAACAAGGCTTAAATGCTTTGTTTATAAATTATGATTATTCCTGATTGCAGCAGTTACTGATAGTGCCACTCATTTGCAATGCAACTCTTTGAATTTGTTTAATTACAATTTGAAACAAGGCAGAGAAGATTAATTAACCCACCTGGCTGGCTGGCACATAGTCCTGGCTCGGCTCTGTCATACTCATATACATGTTCTCACCGTCAAACTGCAAAGGAAATAATAGTAAAAATTCAGCAAACTTGAATATTTTTCAGCATTAACTGAAAAAACCAGTAGCTATAAAATAATATTACAGCCTGGGTTTAGAGACTTGTAATTGCGTGTGTGCATCTTGTCTTTGATGTTCCTGTTGTCATTCTTATTGACCCTGGATGTCAGTGATTTGGAGTAATTAGCGCTCTAGTAATTACAGCTAGCAAGCAAGAAATGAATGGTTTCCTTTCATCAGCAATCTGTTTTAAAACAAAATGGCTCATTTTGTGCACCATGTATACATATTGCTGTTGTTTGTAATGAAGTACTAAGTGAATTGCACAGTTACTGAGAAAAGGAAGATGAGAATAGAAACTGCACTAAAATGTATCCTAATGGATTCCAACTTTAGCTTCTGAGCAGAACAAGAGTTGAAATTTCAAAACAAATTAAAGCCCCTCTTATTGAAACGTTCCCGTATCAGAAAGTAGGAAATACATTTCCAGACAGCTTTCAGACATCTGAATGTATGAAACAGTATACCTCCTGACCGTATGGTGTAAGAGGGTAGTTTGCTTGATGCGTGAATAAAGTAAACATTCATAATCAGAACTGCAAAATTTCCCTTCCGTAAATGATAAATACCATTCCTGGAAATGTATACAAAGCTCTTTTTTTTGTTGTTCTTTTTCTCCCCTTAGCTGCAGTTAAGAAGTAACAGAAATATGATAGAAAGGAGTTGATTAAAATCTGAAGGTCTAGATGGAGAAAAACTGTCAACTGAAGCCTCATCCTGTACCAACACAAAGAAGTATAAAACTACTGATTTCTTACGTAATCTGGAAAATGTCTCTTGTCATGCCCGCTCAAGTGGCAGTGTCAACATGCAACTACAGTCCCAGTATCTGTTCAGGAGGTAGGGAAAATCTTTTCAAACCTTTCAAGTAGAAATGAACAACAGCAGGAATCCCCATCCCCAGTCATCAGCCACAAATTTCCAGCTGTTACGAGGTCTGTTTGAAATAACTTTCACCTGACCCCTTCTGTGAATGCTTGGAGTGACATATTTTGGAAATGAGCCATTATTTTTGATGACGCAGCGGCATTTTTATAAAGTCCCCACTACTCAGCTTCCTCTACTCCTACAGAAGGTGGCAGTGAAATATCCTATGGACATTCCTCGATTTGTGCTGAGCTTCTTGGGATATTCTACCTGCAAGGTACAATATATTCAACAAGACCAAGGTGGCAAAGTCAAACTGTGGCTTTGGCAGATAGCTCTACCAATTTTTGCTGAGGCAGCTGAAAAGGTTTCAGCTTCCAGCTGTTCATCCTCTTTCTCTGCCAGAGGCTACAAGGCTTGTAACAGCAGCGGTAGAAATGAACAAGTGCCAGCTCCTGGCAAAGCGGTTGACGGTCTGCCCTTCCTGGCCAGAGCTATTTAATAGATAGTCACAGCCTAGCTGTCAGAAGTCCTAGTTTCATGGGAGGGAAAAAATTATGCCACGGGCACAGATCTGCCATAGGGAATAGAATATTTCTGAAATTTGACGGAATAGAGATAGTTGGATTAGATCTTCAAAATAGGGATTGATGTTTGTTCCTTTATTGTTCCTTGTTTACACTTGCTATTTCTTTCAGCTTTTTCATTCAAGAATGTTTTTATTTATTAGCATTCAAACAGATTTCTGGAGAAAATTTTTTAGCGCCTGGATTGTTTGCACACTGGAAAAAATGCATTGTTTCTTCTACTCAGATGGACAGGTGAAATTCTGAAGAGAGATTTCACAGCCTGTGGTTGGAAACCAAGAGCTCCAGTGCAAGGCCTACAGGAGCTCGACTTATTCAGCTTGTCAGACGAAAGGCTGAAAGGTGCCTTGATCACTGAGATTGGTACTTACACCCTGGAAAGATGTCTGATAGCAAGATGTCAGCCTTCCTGACAGTGGTATAATGAGATCTAGTGTTGAGAAAGAAATGGGAGTTAGAGAAATTCAGTTCTGAAATAAGATACAAGTTCCTACCTTAGAAGGTAATTAGGCATTATGTCAACAGCAAACTTATCATTTCTTGGACATTTTAAAATGAAGTTAGATATCTCTTTCAGAAAAGATGCATTCCATATCATATTTATGAGAAATCCTATGGACAGGATAGTTACGCTGGCTGGTTATGGTAGTCCTATCTGCCCTGGAACCCATGATTCCTTATGTCTCCTATTTTGAATTTCCCTCATTACCCTCATATATTTGCTACACTACCTTGCAAACATTGCTCTAATTCAAATATTATGTTGCATATGTTTAGTTGAAAAGAACATGAAGAAACTTCTTTCCTTTTCTGTATACAGGCTGGATACAGTCCAGGGTTATTTCAATTTATTTTGCCTTCCATAATTCCTGAGCCTGTGATTTAAGAATCTTTATGAAGTATACTAGTCTTTCAGATAATTCCCTCTTTTGGATGTTTGGTCATGTGTCCTTGCTCCCAAGCTTGCAATCACCAAATCTGCATTCACAGAAAAAATTCCCTAAGATCATATTTCCATGAATCTTGGAAATTTTCATCATTCTGTGTGTTATTGTGGGATCATCTGCCTATCTGATCAGTGCCTTGCTGCTAGTGGTGCCTCAGGCATTGATAGGATCTTGGTTCTCAGCCTTTCCTGTTTGTTGCTTGTGGCCTTCTATTTAGCTCTGAAATGCTTTTGTTCTACCGTGGTCTGTGGGCTTAATATGAGCATGTATCAATGAAACCAAAAAACAAAAATACACCTAAAGTTAAACTTCCTGGCCTTTTGGCTTTGCCTTAAATGAGAAATGACCTTCTGCAACGTTTCAGATGAATTTGTTAGGGTAAATTCTCAGAAAAATATATTAATGCATAATGTCTGTAAAATCTGAGTGACCTGTTAACATCTAAAAATACCCAGCAGCTGTTTGATTTATTACTTAATTTCTTCAATATTCAAACATGGAGTTTAGCCACTGCAATATTTAGCATCCGCTTGTTAGAAGTATGGGTAAGATGTTGTGTAATAGGTTGTATAGTTCAATAAGATTTGATGCAATGTGTATTTTTTGTAGTGTTTGCATTTGCATTTGCATTTGCAGGATGTGGACTGTGATGTATTAAGTGACACTAACACTGTTGCCATGTTAGTATTTGTACTACATTTACAGCTGTATAAATTATTATCTGCCCGCAGTCTAGGGCAGTGTGGTGCATGGCTTCTTGGCAGTTCCTAAGACTTCAGACGTGAGCCTGAAAAACACCCGCAAACTCGAATGATGAAGGATACACACATGCACTTCCTACAGCAGGTATTGTCAGGAGATGCCTCCTTCAAGTTTACTAAAATGTTTATAAAAAAGTGAAATTATGATTTTTGTACACCAAAATAAAACAAAATGTTTACTTCAATGCTGAATTGTTTTTTCATCATCCCCTTTCCCAACTACCAAAAAAGCGTGGAATACAGATGACATATACATCCCACCCCAGCCAAAAAAAGGGTACACAAGCCTTCCATAACAGGAAGTTCAGAGACACTGATGCAGCACACTGTATCTGTGCCCACCTTGTCCAAATGTTACTATCCCACATCGAAACAATAAACTGAGAAAAAAATGCCAACAACTTGATCACCTGGAAGGTCCTACTGTTGTTTTTTCCCATGTGTATCAGAAGCTTCCAAAACAAGCCCCTAAACCCCACAAATGAACATTGAATCATTTCACCTTTTTATACACTGCTTTGTAACGTGCAGGGTCTGCAGCACGGCATCTCTCAACAACTCTCCTCCAGGACAGCTTAACTCATACTACATCCACCTTGAACTCAGCTTTACAAGTGAGGTGATTTATGCAACAGCAGTTCAAGCAACCTATCCGGATCAGACAGTGAGTCAAAAGATCAACAGATATGACCCAAAGATGCCTCCAACCACCATATTTTTCTTCCAGGTTATATTCCATGCCTCTAAAATTGTCTTGTTTTACTCATCATCCCTGGTCTACAAGAACTTTGTATTCCCTAAACTTCCCTGCCACTCATTGTGCTTGATTTCAAGCAAAGAAACTGCACTAGCACCACTTAACCTGTGGATGATTCATCCAAACAGAACAGACAAAACACAAAGGCAGGCAGTTAAATGAACTGTCTTTTATGAACCTGTGTATGATGTATATATATCATATGACATTTCATCTAAAGCTTTCCCAATGTGTCTCCAAGATCCTTCAGTATCATTAAGGGCTTTCATTTTAATCTATTAAAAGTGAATGCTAATACAATATTCTGATGTGTGATAATAACTACTCTTGACAACATTTCTTTTCATATTAAAGTATAACTGCATGAGAAGTTTGGGTGAGAGCAAACTAAGGGTATGACTGCATTGTAATATGAAAAGATATATTACTGGGAGCTGTTTTTAATATACATTCAGAATTGCATCATATTTTTTATTTAAATTATTATCATAAAAAAACATACAGGCAACACTATGGCATGGCCAGTTAGAATCTCCCCTAGAATAACCCTTTGTAAGAAAAATTATACTGTTCAGCAACCAACATGCACAAAATACCCACGTGCTGTTATTAAATACAATTTACTCATATAAGTTAGGAACATAATTACATAAACACTGGCTGACTGTTACTGATGCAAGAGCTATGACAGAGTTCAGCAAACGTCCAGAGTGGTAAGGCTGTTTCACCAGGCATGGATTTACCAAGGGATCCAAAGCTGGCTTTTGTCTCCCATTAGCATGGCATCACATCAGAGTCTTATGAGGTAGTCATGGCCGGGAAGCCTGTTTTCATCTTCCCACTTAGGTTGCAGCAAACTCTGCCCGCATTTATAATAATGATTATGAAGTAGCAAAGCTTGCAAGAATGGTATTTTTTTATTCATTCTTTATGTGCTTCTTTAAATGAAAAACACCCTGTGTGGACTATGTCAAAAAGACACTATAATCAGGTTGCACAGAAACAAATAGAGAACAAA